TCTCTCTCTCTCTCTCTCTCTCTCTCTGTCTCTCTCTCTCGTATGATGTTGATGATGATGGTTGCACAAACTAACGTCTGATGCAAGAATTACAACAGTTTATCAGTATTGATGTACGCCTTGAACAGGGGGCTTAGTTGTGAGATCAGACATAATCATATAATATTAAGTAATAAAAGTGTGGAGGGGTGTTTGTGATTTGAAATCCATGTAAATCTCATGGCTATGAGTTGCAACTTCAAAAGAGTGATTATTGGAAAGGAAAAGCCTTAGGGCATGCTTGTTTACCGAATAATTCTTAGAAATTAGAATTATTTTGGTTAACTGGAGTTAATTTTGAAAAATGTACTATGATTAGTTGTTACTGAGATTTTAAGAATGTATTAAAATAATATGTAAAATAAAATGATTAATATTGATTTCACGAGATAAATGATTGTAAATGATAAAAAATTAAAATTATGCTAGTGGATGAATAATGAATTAAAGTTGATGTGATGTGTAAAAATGATTGGTTTGTATTATTTAATTATACGAGTAATATTAAGGATAGTGGTGTTGAGTTAAAGTTGAGTTAGATTTTGAAAATGAATTAAATACGAGAAAATCTAAGATTGAAATTATATATTTGTTTTATTTATTTTATTTTGAAGGTTCTGCTCACTTTTTCCCTCCCTAGTATGGCTTGAAATATACTTTTACTACATGTTTGGTGTGACTAAAGAGTAAAGACACCAGAGAATAATTTGGTTTAATTAATTTTTGACATAATATATATATATATATATATATATATATATACATATATATATATAAAAGAGAAAAGAATGAAATTGGTTCAGACATGAGAAAAACAAGTGTTTGGTCCACAAAGATTTGTTTTTTTCTCTAACAAAAAGCTCGAGGAGAACCAGCTTTAGTCACCGTAATAACGTGGTTAATTAACCTCTTCAATTTATTTTTTATTTTTTATTTTGTATTTTTTTGTTTTTTGCATGGCCAGCTCAGCATTTTACTCGGCTCTAATTTTCTTACAAAACCTTATCCCAATTTAATCATGATTTTTGATATAGGGAGATGCTATGTCCTGTTAGATCAACTATCCTCGACGGTTACGTGATGGTCTAACGGTTACAAATCTCGATGGAATAGTTCCGTAACGGGACCGTAGCATTACCCTTTGATATATATCTCACTCTCTGTCCTCAGTCCGCACTACATTCCCATCATGTTCTAATCAAATTTTAAGCCATTAAAACCAGAGATGAACAATTTTCTGGGCAACAATATTCAGCAGACAGTGCTTTTCGTGCTCTTCGCCATTAATGTACTTTTGTGCATTTCCGAAGAGCGCGATATCTACTTGGTTCTACTTGAAGGCGAGCCGGCTGCATTTCGTCAAGCTAATTCGGCATTTGATAAACACGAAAAACAACATCTTTTCGACAGGTAACTTAACTTAGAATCAAAATATAAAGAAAACTAAAAAAAAAATGTACTTCTATTTTTTCATTTCTATTGTTTCCTTTTCTAAAGAGAAGAAAAAATTTAATTAACAGAGAAGCTTGCGATGCTCATGCAAAGCGCCTGGTCGACTCGCATAACGAATTTCTACAAAGCACCTTAGATGAAGGCAGCTATAACAAGCTCTACAGCTTCAAACACATAGTTGATGGATTTGCAGTCCACACCACCCATTCTCAGGTATTCTTTTTTTTACTTCTATAAGTTTAAACTTTGAATACAATGATTAATATTTTGAAAACACTCCCGTAAACTTGCCTTCAAAATATTAACAAATTAGGTTAAGAGACTCAAAGGATCTCCTAGAGTAAAAATTGTGGAGAAAGATAGAGGAGCCAAGTTAATGACGAGTCACTCACCGGAGTTTTTAGGATTGCCGTTAGTTTGGACGGACGAGAAAGGCAATGATGGTTTTGAAAATGCGGGTGAAGGGATCGTGATTGGTTTTGTGGACTCGGGCATAAACCCACTTCATCCGAGTTTTTCTTATGATCCTTCGAAACTGACTTTAGTCTCAAATGGGTCTCGTTTTTCCGGGGCTTGCGAGGGAGGCCCACTTTTTCCCGAGACTTCTTGCAATGGTAAAGTCGTTTCGGCTAGGTTTTTTGCGGCCGGAGCTCAAGCTGCAGCAGTTCTTAATTCTTCTGTGGATATTTTGTCACCATTCGATTCGGAAGGACACGGAAGGTGCATTTATGGATATGATTTATGTTATTTCATCTTTTGTTTTTTTTTAAAAAAAAATGATATTTTTGCTTGTGTTTCTTAACTATCTGTGTGTGTGTGTGCGTGTTTTGCAGTCATGTGGCCTCGACGGCTGCTGGGAATTTTGGAGTTCCGGTGGTTGTCGATGGCTTCTTCTTCGGTCGAGCCAATGGGATGGCGCCACGTGCAAGGTTCCAACATTGTATAAGAATAATGTAATTTTTTATGAAAGTGAATAATGTTCATTTTTTTTTTTCGTTTAATATAGAATTGCTGTGTACAAAGCTGTTTATCCTACTGTGGGAACTTTAACAGATGTGTTAGCAGCAATTGATCAGGTGAGCTTCTTTATTTTTCCTTTTTCTTTTCTTCATTTTCACACACATATGGTGAGAATTAACTATTGAGATATATATTCAATCAGCAGGGTTTATATTTGCAGAACTTAATACCCACCCAATCTTCAACTATCTTCAGTTCAACATGCATAAACACATTTTCCCAGTTTACACACCGGAAAATACCAAAAAACGAGGAACCAAAGCCAAAGTTAACTACACTGTAATAAGTTATTCATGTCTTACGACTCGTTTTGCAGGCTGTATTAGACGGAGTGGATATCTTAACACTCTCCGTTGGACCCGATGCACCACCAGAGGACACGCTTACATTCTTGAGCGCATTTGACATATTCTTATTATCTGCACGAAAAGCCGGAGTCTTTGTTGTTCAGGCTGCTGGCAATCTCGGGCCGGGCCCTTACAGTGTCGTTTCCTACAGCCCATGGGCTTTTGGAGTTGCCGCCTGTAACACAGACAGAACTTACCCCGGCACTCTTACCCTTGGCAACGGTCAAAATATAGGCGGAGTTGGATTGTCAGGTACTGTTATTTTCACCATTTACCATAGTAAAAATCCAAGAGAAGTTCAATCTAATAATATTTTCAAACCAGGTCCGAGTTTTGGAAATGGATTGATTCAGTATAGGCTGGTGCTGGCTCGGGATGCAATTAGGGTGAATCGAACATTTCCCAAGACTCCAGATTACATAGACGAGTGCCAGAGCTCGGAGGCGCTGGACCCCACATTGGTGCATCAAAGTGTAGTTATCTGCACCTTCTCGACTGGTTTCTACAATGGAACCTCGAACCTGACGGCCATAATTGACACAGCAAAGATGCTCGGGTTCGCGGGTTTCGTGCTGGTGGCGAACCCTGATTATGGGGACTTTATTGCTGAGCCTATTCCGTTTTCTGATCCTGGAATATTGATCCCAAGGGCTAGTGATGCAAAGGTATGCACTTTAGCAAATATAAATATTTTTGCATGATTCAAAAAAAAAAAATATCTTTTTTTTTTTTGTTGGTCAAAATATATAGTTTTGCAACAAAAATGCAGGAAACAAGAAGCATAAACATCTGGTTTTTTTTTTCTTTTTTTTTTTTATGTGTGGTGTAGATCATATCTGAATATTATGAACAGCAAACACAAAGAGATAAAAATGGGGTGGTTATAAGGTTCAGTGGGAGGGCAGCTATAGGAGAGGGCAGAACAGCTTCTTACACAGAAAGAGCGCCTGTTGTGAGCAGATTCTCATCGAGGGGTCCCGATTACATCGACCAAAAGAGGAACCCGACCGATGTCCTCAAGCCTGATATTTTAGCTCCGGGCCACCAAATTTGGGCCGCTTGGAGCCCCATGAGTGTCCAGAACCCCATCCTGTCCGGTAGAGTTCAAATACAAACAATTTTTATTAACTTCCAACTAATCTCAAGGAAAAAAAAGGAGAGGCGAAAAAGAAAAAAAAAAAAAAAAAGAAAAAAATTGCACTTATATCCGGAAATCTACTAAAATAGGTGGACTCTTTTGTAAATAGACTGAATATTAGCTGTATCTCATGTAACAAACAATTTTTCTTGCCTAACGATCCAAATGGTTCGCCCTCAGGCTACAGTTTTGCACTTATATCCGGAACCAGCATGGCAACACCTCATATTGCAGGCATAGCTGCAATAATCAAGCAAAAGAACCCCTATTGGTCCCCCTCAATGATTGCTTCAGCTATGTCAACTACAGCCAGAAAACACGACAATAGAGGAGATCCAATCATGGCCGAAGGTTTTGCCGCCCACACACTGTATCCAGCCGCCCCATTCGGTTTTGGTGCTGGTCTAGTGGATCCTGTCCGAGCCCTCGACCCAGGACTTGTCTTTTCAGCTGGTGATTTTTTCCAAAATTTACCACTTTACTTTAGCTCAAGTGAAAAAATATCCTGTTATCTTCAAGAAATAACACTAGACAATTGAAATATATGCGGTAAGAGGTTTTTATTATTCTTTTTTCCTGTGATTATCACTTTTTTCCTATACAGATTATGAAGATTACCTCAATTTCTTGTGCTCTCTACCAAATACTGATCCCGAGAAAATCAGAAGTGCAACTGGAGGAACATGTGCAGCTGCTTTTAGCAACCCTTTGGACCTGAACCAACCATCGGTCACTGTAACTGCCCTTTCGGGAATGAGAATGACACAGAGAGTTGTTAAGAATGTGGCAAGAATACGAGAGACTTACCTGTGTGCCGTTTTCCCGCCAAATGGAGTCACGGTTAAAGTGGACCCATCATGGTTCACTTTAGCTCCCGGAGAATCCCAAATCTTGGAGATAAGATTCCTTGTCGATCGGGCGCTTGATGACTTCAGCTTTGGGGAAATTGTGCTCACAGGGAGTTTGAATCATATTGTTAGGATGCCGCTGTCAGTCTTCCCGATTTCCGCTTGAGTTGGATGGTGAATTGTTTTCACTCTCAAGATTTCCAAATGATGTAATAAACATTTATATAGGTAAAAAAGAGAAACATCTTATAAATTATGAATGTGCAACAGTTTTTAGCATCTTGCAGCTCTATTGAAGTTCTAATCCATGCACTCAGTAGCAAACCAAGGAACAAAAAGAGGAACTCCTCATGTGTATTACATGAAAGCACATTAATGCAACCACAGGTGCTAGTGAATGAATTTTCATATAATCAGCAGGATATTTGATTTTGTTCCAATATGGCAGACTAAGAATTTCTTCATTCTGCACTTACTGAGTTTGTCACATATGCACTGCACATTAGATTGAAGAACAACTTTCTAACAAAGCTTCTGTTCTGACCTCAAGTTTACATAATACATCCACAAGCTACATATACCAATTTCAAACATATATACACATATGTAATACAACATTTGTGAGCGACAAATTGCAGGCTATATTGGCTCATGACGATAAACTATTTCTTCTCACGTTTATTGGCTAGTTTCTGACACATAATCCCTCATCAGTCTTGTATTACGATCATCGACCATCTGCTAAAACACAACACAAACAAACTAGTGCATACCAATACGAAATTTTCCTTGAAGAAAAAAAAAATAATAATAAAATAAAACCGTTAATGTGGAAAAGTAGTGCGCTGACCTTTGATGCCAATCTTTCCAAGTTGTCCCATTCAAAATCTTTCTTGCAATAAGCTGATCGAACCTTCACACAAAAAGTCGAACATTTTCTTTAGTTCCGAAAAATCTACAAGTCTTGATTTTCATTTTGCGATTATTTTCCAAGCGATAGTTTCAAGGTTCATTGGTACGGAAAACATTCACTGACCTCTAAAATGCGCAAAGCTGCACAGCACAGCATGATCAACATGCACAACAGGAACACCATCAGGTTGTTGTTATATACACACACATTTCGACACGAAAACAAGGTTGAAAGTATTTGTCTCAGTGTACTATGTTTAATTACCTAGATTCTTATGCCTCGATGACTCGCGCATCAAATCAGCGCAAAATTTATCTCCATCGCTAAGAGAATGTCTTTCCATGAATTCCATCAACTCCGCATGCGCCTCCGGATTGTAGCTCTGTGCTTCGAATCAAACTATGAATAAAATCATCATATATCCATATTGGAGCACGTATCCAACTAAATAACATATGTCCCATGTTCTGTAACTTTAAGGGATTTATTTTGGATTTAAAAGTGACAACGAAATTCGATTTAACAAAGAAAAACACAAAATTCAAGATAGGGCCGAACTCGAGTTCGAACCCAAGCCTTTATCCTGCCAAACTGATCTCGGTTCGTTAACAAAATGGGTCAATAATCGAGCTCCAACTTGGCTCACTTATTACTATTAACAATCCAAACGAGAGCCTTAACGAGCTGAGCTAAGTTAGGTAAAAATTCAGGATATTAGACGAAAACTCAATTCTCGAGTCTTAACGAGACGAACTGAGCTACGGAGCGGCTCGCTTAGTTACCTGTAGCTGGGCGTTGACTATTTTGACGGCGATGAAGGTGAAGAAATCGTGGAGATGTTTGGCCGCTTTCATTTCTGGAGAAGCTTCCCCAAACCCTGCAAACATATCTCAAACTCCTTACAAGTTTTCAACTACTCTGAGAATCAGATCTGAGTTCCATTAGGCACGTAAAGGAATTGATTTTTCGTTCTTACCAGGCACAAACATCTTGTGACATTGGAGGGTCGTTAAGTGTGATGTTCTGTGTTTTCTGGGCTTAAAGGGAAAGCCTCTGCTCGTGGTCCTTGGTTTTGGCGGGAGAATTGAGAATTGAGAAGATGAGAAGAACAATGTGTAGTCCATTGGAGAATAGTGAGGATTTTTATGAAGAATCGGTTGTGTGTGTGTATCTGTTGGTGTGAGGAGGATGAAGAAGATGGCTAAACCTCCAAAGGGTTTAGCTTCACAGCCATGAGAATATATTTTGTCGTCTTCTAAAAGATATCTTACATTTTCCGCTTCACCAGAAAATTGTAGATACAATATCACATTTTTTTTTTGATGTCGTGTATCTATGTCTATATACTAATTCAAAACGTGTTAAGATTATGTGACAAATTCTCACGCTTCGGATGTTGACATGGCGAAAATCTATACTTCGTGATGTTGTTTTTATATTATTTTTGATCTGGAATTAGGTTTGATATTAGACATAAATAACTTTACACATATATTCAATAACTCAGCATCCATGTTGTACATGGATATTAATACTAGTAAAAATGTTAGATGAAAACGTGAAAACAATATCTATCTCGAAGAAGTGAGATGAATTTAAAGTTTTGAATGAATATAAGATGATATTAAAATGATTTGGGGTTTCGAAAGATACTTGTTGAAGTAGACAATCAAAGTGTGGTTTCCATGGCGAACGGGGCTTAACGGAGAACCTTGGAATTCATGGAAGTTTAGCCAGGGCCATTCGTGAGTTACTTAACCGGGCTTGGGTGGCTAGAGTTATTCATTGCTATAGAGAGGCGAACTTTACGGTTGATTGTTTGGCGTCCGTAGCGCATCAATGGCCGAGTGGTTGTCAGCGTTTATCAGACCCACATTCGATGGTTACCTCATGGTTACAGCATGATCTTATTGGACTTGTTACGCATAATTGTCAAAGGATCCTAGGCTTTTGCCTCATTCGTTT